CGTGAGCGCAGCATCCCGTTCCTTCTCCGACTGTATGTCTAATGCCCTTAATGCCTCCATTTTCTCTGGAGCTGCCTTATGAACGGGATAGGCGACTGCTCAGAGCTGGGGAATCTTTGCAACTTTGGGTGCAGACTGAGACGGAGACGACTGGGTTCCAATTCCATGTGGGCTCTGAAGCGCTCCCATCTGGAGTGCTAGTATTTTAGAGATTCGTGCACTAGTAATCAATCCACTCACCGTTCTGGGGGAGGAGTGGAGATCTTAACTTCAAAAGGAGGGAGCAAACATTCTGCCTCCTGTTAAAACTCCATACACTCACTGCAGAGACTGGATGCCTTATTAAGCTTGGGTGGATGCCCAAGTGTTCAAAAGGTAAAACTCCAGATCACGAGTCATTAAGCCATCAGGCTGCTGAATGAATGAACAAATGCTGAGAGGGTGCTGCACTTTCTTACGACAACTACTCCCACCTGATATGTGCTTGGAGCTTTGTGGTTTTCAACATGCTTCAGATCCAAGAGGCAGCAGAGCACAGTGGTGAAGAAAGCAGGCTCTGAGCTCTGCTGCGCCTTGTCTCTGTGACTTTGTCAAGTTGCTTAACCTCTCTGAGCCTCAGTTTCCTGGAGCTAACCTCTTCATCTCAGGGTTATTCTAAGGATTACAGGAAATAAGGCAGCCCGAATGCTTAGCAAGTGCATAGCGCCTAGTCAACGCTCAACTAAAGGTGGCTATTCTTACTCCTGGTTCATTTGATCTTTGTCCTCAGAGTGGGCAAAGGATGGACAAAGCCCCATGGCTAGTTAGGAGCAGAAGCAAGACTGGAATCAGGTGTCCTGGGCCCTGGTCTTAGGCCAAGAAAAATCATCACGTCAGAGACACGTTTTCCTGCAAGGGGACTCTCAATAATTCACATGGAGAAATGTCTATTTAGGTCTTCTGCCCATTTTTAGATTGGGTTGTTTGTTTTTCTGATACTGAGCTGCATGAGTTGCTTGTACATTTTGGAGATTAATCCTTTGTCAGTTGCTTCATTTGCAAATATTTTCTCCCATTCTGAGGGTTGTCTTTTTGCCTTATTTATGGTTTCCTTTGCTACGCAATAGGTCCCATTTGTTCATTTTTGTTTTTATTTCCATTTCTCTAGGAGGTGGGTCAAAAAGGATCTTGCTGTGATTTATGTCATAGAGTGTTCTGCCTATGTTTCCCTCTAAGAGTTTTATAGTGTCTGGCCTTATATTTAGGTCTTTAATCCATTTTGAGTTTATGTTTTGTGTATGGTGTTAGGGAGTGATCTAATTTCATTCTTTTACATGTAGCTGTCCAGTTTTCCCAGCACCACTTATTGAAGAGGCTGTCTTTTCTCCATTGTGTATTCTTGCCTCCTTTGTCAAAGATAAGGTGACCATACTTGCATGGGTTTATTTCTGGGCTTTCTATCCTGTTGCACTGATCTATGTTTCTGTTTTTGTGCTAGTACCATACTGTCTGGATTACTGTAGCTTTGTAGTATAGTCTGAAGTCAGGGAGCCTGATTCCTCCAGCTCTGTTTTTCTTTCTCAAGATTGCTTTGGCTATCTGGGGTCTCTTGTGTTTCCATACAAATTGTAAAATTTCTTGTTCTAGTTCTGTGAAAAATGCCATTGGTGTCACCTCACACCGGTCAGAATGGCCATCATCAAAAAATCTACAAACAATAAATGCTGGAGAGGGTGTGGAGAAAAGGGACCCCTCTTGCACTGTTGGTGGGAATGTAAATTGATACAGCCACTATGCAGAACAGTATGGAGGTTCCTTAAAAAACTACAAATAGAATTACCATATGACCCAGCAATCCCACTACTGGGCATATACCCAGAGAAAACCATAATTCAAAAAGACACATGCACCCCAGTGTTCATTGCTGTGCTGTTTACAGTAGCCGGGTCATGGAAGCAACCTGAATGCCCATCGACAGACGAATGGATAAACAAGATGTGGTACATATATACAATGGAATATTACTCAGCCATAAAAGAAACGAAACTGAGTTATTTGTAGTGAGGTGGATGGGCCTAGAGTCTGTCCTACAGAGTGAAGTAAGTCAGAAAGAGAAAAAAAAATTCTGTATGCTAACACGTATGTATGGAATCTAAAAAAAAAAGGTTCTAATGAACCTAGGGGCAGGACGGGAATAAAGACGCAGATGTAGAGAATGGACGTGAGGACACAGGGAGGGGGGGAAGGGTAAGCTGGGATGAAGTGAGAGAGTAGCATAGACATATATACACTACCAAATGTAAAAGAGCTAGCTAGTGGGAAGCAGCCGCATAGCACAGGGGGCCGCATAGCACATAGCACAGGGAGCCGCATAGCACAGCTCGGTGCTCTGTGTCCACCTACAGGGGTGGGATAGGGAGGGTGGGAGGGAGACCCACGAGGCACAGATATGGGGATATGTGTATATGTATAGCTGATTCACTTTGTTATACAGCAGAAACTAACACAACATTGTAAAGCAATTATACTCCAATAAAAAAAAATGTTAAAAAAAAAAACTTCACATGTAAATCCCAGGGCTGTTTCAAAGAACTCTCCTTTGGGACTGATATAATTTTATTAACAGAACTTGACTTGAAATTTGTTTTTTGTTGTTGCTGTTGTTAGTCTGTTTCTTGGGAAAGGACAAAAAAAACAGGTAAGCTGAATGTCTGTGTCAGACCTCTATGCTGAGGATGCTGGCAGGACAAGGGAGGGTGGTGCTAGGGAAGTGCTTCCAGAGGCACACAGTTTTCTGGGGCTGGGCTGTGGGGTGTCATCCCTGGATGTTATAAAAGCACCCGAGGGAGAGCAAACATTGGAAACAGCCGAGATCCAGTCCAGGCCACACCTGGGAGGTGCCAGTCCAGCTCCCACAAAGGACTGCTTTCTGCTGCTGCCATCCTGGGCCCTGTATTAACTTATCTGGACAGCAGGTTTCACGGTGAACTGACTGGCCATTCTGCTTTGAATCTGTCCGTCTCTGTCCACAAACACGGGGCTGCTGAGCCACTCAGCGTGTGGAGCAGAGCTCCGTGTGGGCACCAGGTACCTTCCTGAAGCTGCAGGGATTGACCAGCTGCGAGAAGTCAGCTGTGCTCAAACCAGGAACTGCTCAAACCAGAACTGGCTGCATCAGCAGTGCCTGGCTCCAAGCATACCCATCAGGCACAGCCAAAGGAGCGGGTGCCCTAGGTGCCAGCTCCTTCAGAGGCCATGTGCATCTTCCAAGAAGATGAATGTGATTTTTACCTTTTGGAGCCCAAGGCTTGGTTTTTGGATCCCCTCCACTGGGGCAAATCCATGATCTTCTAGGACAGCTTGGCTTTTCAGAAACCGCTCACTCTGAGCCACTGGCGGAGAATAAGGTGTGCCACGGAGGAGGGAGAAGGGCTGATTTTGATCAAGACCGAGGTGTGACTCTAAAGCAATGAATGTGAATTTTTGGCAAGACTTACAAAGGACTCTAAAGGCCACCTGCAAAGAGAAGCCTAGCCCGGAAATGGCGTGAGCAAGGGCCGCTTCTCCAGAGTGAGGGCACGGGTGGCAGCTCTAAGAACCTGTTCTAGGAAAAACCCGTCCTGCGCTGAGATCTACACTCATCAAAACCAAAACAATTACTTACTAGTCACACTTTTTAAAAGGGTGTTGGTGGGGCACATGGGGGGAAGGGGAAGAGGATCCTGCATCTACAACCCACCCAGTCTTTTCCCCGAGGGATGGAAACAAGCGTGAAACAAAGGAAAAACTGCAAGTGCCGTTGAAACTGACCATGAACTCTGGATGCATTACTGAGAGGCTTTTCTTCACTGACTTAGTTCTTGACCATAAAAGAGAAGCAAGAACTGAAAAGGGTAATTGGTATGGAGGGTAGAGATTGCCATGGAAAGATGCCTGACGGGAGGGCTGGCAATTTGGAGGACAGGCCAAAATAATTGCTCCCTCTCTGCCATCCCATCTTTCCGCCATCTCTGTGAGAGCTGGAACTCCAGTAAACAAAGTTTTGTAAATGCCTCAACTAGATACCACGTTTTCAGTACATTGTTGGTGGTAGACAACCAGGGCAAAAGACAGCAACAGGATTTCAACAACGTCCCCGCACACTTGTGCACAGATCAGAATCCTCAACTAAATAGAAAACTGACTTACTGAAAGTGGATTGCCCTTGGAATTGGAGAAGCCAGGCCCTCTAGTTATGTGAAATGACATTACCTCAGAGCCCCCAGCTCCCAGTTCTCTGAACAGGAAGGAAGCAGACCCACGGGTCTAGAAGAGCCATTTCCTCTCTGCTCTATTAATTGCAGAGATTAGGTGAGCCACTCCTTTGTGGACCTAATACACTGAGATAACAGCCATTGTGTTTGCGGCACCTCCTATTAACTGAGCTAACCCTGGTAGACTGGCGAGGTTGCAGGCTTTTATTGTCAGATTCAACCAACCAATGGCCCTCTGGAATCCCTAACCCTGAGTTTCGGACCCATGGATGACATCTGAGTTCCAAGGGAAGAAAGCAGAAATTTGTCAAATGAGTTTTTGAAAGGACATCAGGGCCAGAGAATCAAATGGGAATATCTTTCTGTGCCCTACTCACCGGCTTCCTGTTCTCAGTGGTACTAGGAAGCTAATATAATATATCTAGTGCCTGTCATCCCCACATTCCTCGTTTCTATTAAGGGAAAATGTCGGTCTTTTTCCCTTTTCACCCTTCATCTCTTTCCAGTTGAACGGGTGCAGTGCAGAGAGAGCTGGACTGGGGATCCACATGGAACCTTGGACTCTATTTCCTGCTCTTCCAAAAACTCACAAGGGGCAAAGGTCAGCTCATCTCCTAGATCCCTTCTAGGTCAGATTTCAGTTCCTTACATTTTGGGTTGGTTGCTTGCCACCAAGTTCGCACAGAGAATTTCAATAACACATATCACGTTCAAGTTTAAGATTAGAAGCATTCAAAAACCCCCTCCCCCCATAGCCCATTGTCTGACCGATTCCTGGAGCCTTCTGGGCTCCTGGCGATTTCCCGCCATGGCGAGATGGGGAAGCGCGCTCTTGATTACAAGCCGGTTTTTCCAGTCATCCATCGTTTGACCTGCAATTTTATTCTTGACTCTCCAAGGCGCTTCCCAAACGACCTAGACACAGGGCTTAGGGAGACAAAAAGTACACTGTCTTTCAGATATGAAGATGAGACCACTGACCCCGTGAACCACAGACTTGCATTCTGAGGACAGGTTTAGGTGGAGTCAGCCACGTTCGTTTTCCTGTCTCTCTTCCCACCCCACCACCCTCATGGAGCCCCTCCCACCTCCAGGGATGAAGGGCACCTCTGGGAGGCACTTGGCTGGGATGAGACCGCAGTCCCTGGCCATGGGGCAGAGTGAAGTTCACTGGAGAGCTGAGGGATGGGTGGAGAGGCAGCCCAATGTACCTTAAAGGCACATTAAGCGGGCTTAAAGGCAGGGAATGGGGCTCCTGGGTCTGGCTTTGCTTGTGTGGTACGCAGTGAGATCTGGGGAAAGGCTTTTCTGTTTTCTGACACAGGTTTTTTTTTTTTTTTTTTTTTAATATGAAAACCATGGTGGTTGGATCACGTGATGGCTTATTGCCCCTTCAGCTCTACTGAAGCCTTTGGCCCATAGAAGGAGCAACTCCCCACTCTGCCCGTTAGCACCCAGCCAAGTGAGCTGACAGGTCATAACCTGACAGTCAATGGAAAGAAGCAATGGACGTTGGAAGGGGCTCATGAAACCCTGGTGCACTGGTTTACAAAAAACTAACCGAGTTGGCTGCCATCACGGCTGCCCCAATTTGTGCCCTCCATGACAGATGAGCGGACACATGCAAACCCAGGTACAGCGGATTTTTTTCGTTTTGTCTTGTTTCATTTCTTTATTTGTTCTCACAATGTAGACGTGGAATAGGAGCTCTGCTAAGACATTCATACGCGAGGGAAGCTCTCCTTCCCATAGATCTACTTGGCAGTACAAAACCAGGTCTAAAATTTCCATGTCCAGATGCCTGGCTCTGGAGGACATTACATACAAAACAAACATAAGAAGACCCTGAAAGGTGGAGAGAAGAAAACAGGCTGGATAGGGACCTTGGGGCCTAAGGAACAACGCGGTGGCGAGCTCCCTGGGTTTTCATTCTGCCTCATAGATCCCAGATCAGGACCTGAAGAAGCCAACAATCCAAAGTGCCAATGAACACAGACAAAAAGGCTCCAGCAAAAGCCAAAGGACTGGGAAAGGGGCAGCCTCCCAAGACCGAAAACTTTTATACAAGAACCACTCTAATTCAGCTAAACACCATAGAAAAAAGGGTGTTCCCACCCAGCCCCATCAGTAAAGGCCAACTGGGGGCCTAGAATCCACTCCCACAGAGCAGTAATGAGTCATCTCTCCCTGTCCCTGCTAGGGTGGTGTTAGAAGAGACCTCATAGAGAGCCAGGACCTTTGCCCCTGGCACAGTGGTAATAGGTCCACATCCCATCCCTTCCAGTGTCAGTGGAGATCGCATGGGGAACAGTAATGAGGCACTCCTACCTGTGCCAGCCAGGGTGGCATTAGTCGAAGCCCAGTGGGGAGCTGGAACTGTCACCACTGCCCAGCAGTAATGAGAAGCCCCGACCTCCCCGGTGTCAAGGAAGGCTAAGTGGGGAACCTGGACTTCTGTAGCTACCTGGCAGAAATGAGAGAGTGTGCTCCCCTTTCCCTGCCAGGGCATTGTCAGAGGAAGTCAGCTAAAACAGAAGATCTAAATAAGTGCTGAAAAATATGCTTCAGGTATGGAAGGGGAATCAAGACATTCTTAGATGAAGGAAAACTAAAAAGGACAACTAGACGAATTTGTTAACAACAGACCTCTCCTAAGAGAATGGCTAAAGGAAGTTCTCTGAACGGAAAGGAAATGATAAAAGAAGAAATTTTGGACATCACCAAGGAAGAAAGAACAATGGAAAGAGAAAAAATATGGGTAAATAGAATAGACTTTCCTTTTCCTTTCAAGTTTTCTAAATTAGGTTTGGTGGTTGACGCACCAATTATAACAGTGCATGCTGTGGTTCTAAATGTATGTGCGAGAAATATTTAACGATTACATTATAAACAGAGGAGGGTGGCAAAGGCAGTGGAAAGAGAGGTAAGGTTTCTATACTTCACCTGGACTGGTAAAATGTTGACATCAGTAGATGCTTATAAGTTATTTATATACGATGTAATACCTAGAGCCAGCAAGAAAAATGGTATACGAAAAGAAACATGCAAAACACTGTATGTGAATCATCAAATGGAATTCTAAAAAATATTCAGGTCACCCACAGGAAGACAGGAAAAAGAAAATAGCGAAACAAAAATAGAGAGCAAACAAATTAAATTGGCAGAATTAAGCACTAACATCAATAAGTACATTAAGTGAAAATGATCTAAATACACCTATTAAAAGACAGAAATTGACAGAGTCAATAAAAAAACATAAGCCAACTATATGATGTCTGCAAGATGCTCACCTCAAATATAATGATATGGGCATGTAGAAAGTAAAAGGATGAAAAAACATGCAAATGTTAATTCAAAAAAAAAAGGAGCAGGGGTGGCTCTAGTAATGCCAGATAAAGTAACTTCAGAACAAAGAAAATTACCAGGCACAGAGAGGGGCATTACATTATGGAAAAAGGGTCAACCTACCAAGAAGAAAAAGTAATCCTAAATGTGTATGCACCAAACCACAGAGCTACATGATATATGGAGCAAAAATTAACATAACGGAAAGGAGAAATTTACATTTAGAGTGGAGACTTCAATGTCCTCTCTCAATAGTTGATAGAACAATTAGACAGAAAATCAGCAAGATATAGACGAACTCAACACCACCACCATCTAATAGGATCTAATTGACATTTATAGAACACTCCACCAAGAAACAGGAAAATTTACATTCTTTTCAAGCATCCAAGAAATATATACCAAGATAGACATATTTTGGACTATAAAACAATCCACAAAATTTTTAAGAAGTTAAAGTAATACATGATGGCTTAGTACATTGTGAATGTACTGATGCCACTGAATTGTTACGTGAATTTCACCTTCATTTAAAAAAATCAATACCACCGAATACTGGCAACAATGGGAGAAACTGGATTTACTCATACATTGTTGGAGGGAGTGAAAACTGGCACTTTCTTAAAAACTGAACATGCAACTCCTACATGACCCGGCAATTGCACTACTGGGTATTTATCCCACAGGAATGAAAACTTGTAGTCATACAAAAATTTGTAAACAAGTGTTTCTAGTAGATTTATTCATGATAGCCCCAAACTGGAAACAACCCAGAAATCTTTCAATGAACGAAGGATTAAACAAACTGGCACCTGTACACCATGGTACACTCCTCAGCAAAAAAAAGACACGACTGTTGATATATATATAATGACCTGGATGAACCTGCAGAGAGTTATGCTGAGTGAAAAAAAAAAAGGCAACCCCCCAAACTTACATACTGTGTGATTCCGTTTATATAATTCTTAAAATGACAAAACTATAGAAATGGACTGATTAGACATTGCCAAAGGGTAAGGAGGAGGTTGGTGTGGGAAGGAAGTGGATGTGTCCATAAACCGGCAAAATGAGGGATTCATGTGGAGATGGAAATGTTCTGTACCTTGACTGTACCCATGTCAGCATCCTGCTTGTGATATTATACTACAGTTTTGCAAGATGTTATCATTAGGCGAAGCTGGCTAAAGGGTACATGGGATCTATTTGCATTCTTTCTTTTTTTTTTTTTTAAATAAGATGATGGGGGTAGGAGTTTATTAATTAATTTATTTATTTTGGCTGTGTTGGGTCTTCGTTTCCGGGCAAGGGCTTTCTCTAGTTGTGGCGAGTGGGGGCAACTCTTCATCGCAGTGCACAGGCCTCTCGCTCTCGCAGCCTCTCTTGTTGCGGAGCACAGGCTCCAGACGCGCAGGCTCAGTAGTTGTGGCTCACGGGCCTAGTTGCTCCGCGGCATGTGGGATCCTCCCAGACCGGGGCTCGAACCCGTGTCCCCTGCATTAGCAAGCAGATCCTCAACCACTGCGCCACCGGGGAAGCCCTATTTGCATTATTTCTTACACCTGCATGTGAATCTACAATTATCTCAAAACCACAAATTCAATTAAAATCATATGACCGTATTATGTGATGCAGAAAACGGACTTCACAAAATTCAACACCCATTCACAATGAAAACTCTAAGAAAACCAGAACTAGAAGGGAACTTCCTCAACTTGATAAAGAACATCTACAATATATCTACAGCTAACATCATGCCTAATGATTAAAGACTGAATGCTTTCCCTCCACGATTGGTAACAAGGCAAGGATATCTGCTCTCTTCGCTGCTTGTATCAAATCGGTATGTTGTACATCTTAAACTTACACCATGTTGTGTGTCAAATACATCTCAATAAAACAAAAACACAGTACTGGAAGTTCTAGCTAGTTCATTAAGGCAAGAGAACTAATAAAAGGCATACATATTAGAAGCAAAACTATATTTATAGGTGATATGATTGTCTACATGGAAATCTTAACAAATTTACAAAGTAACTCCTGGAACTAATAAGTAAGTTCAGGAAGTTCTCAGGATACAAGATCAACATACAAAAATCAGTTGCGGGATTCCCTGGTGGCTCAGTGGTTGAGAGTCCGCCTGCCAATGCAGGGGACACGGGTTCGCGTCCCGGTCCGGGAAAATCCCACATGCCGCAGAGTGGCTGGGCCCGGGAGCCATGGCTGCTGGGCCTGCGCGTCTGGAGCCTGTGCTCCGCAATGGGAGAGGCCACAACAGTGAGAAGCCCGCATACCACACACACACACACACAAATCAATTGCTCTGGGACTTCCCTGGTGGCGCAGTGGTTAAGAATCCGCCTGCCAATGCGGGGGACACAGATTCAATCCCTGGTCCGGGAAGATCCCACATGCTGCAGAGCAACTAAGCCCGTGCGCCACAACTGCTGAGCCCACGTGCTGCAACTACTGAAACCCACACACCTAGAGCCCGTGCTCCACAACAAGAGAAGCCACTGCAG